GAAAGTCAATTTCCTATTGTTGCAGGTCATGATTCAGCTAAAGGTGCATGGGAAGCACTAGAGGCTACCTATGAAGGCACATCGTCGGTAAAACAATCAAAACTGCAACTGGTCCAGTCAGATTTCGAGGAGCTCCGGATGAATGAAGATGAAACCATCGTGGCCTTTCACACTCGTGTGCAAGAGCTAGCAAATCGAGCTATGGTCCTCGGAGAACCGTTCACTCAAGAAAATTTGGTGAAAAAAATTCTACGATCACTACCACCTCGGTTCCGGATGAAAGTTACAGCGATCCAGGAACATGACAACTGGGAGAAAAAGACCGTAGCACAACTAATGGGGAATTTAAGAACTTATGAGATGGAAATCTTAACAGATCACACGAAAAAACAAAAAACAGTAGCATTTAACGCTGAAGAAAATAATTGTACACCTGATTTAGATGAAATAGGTGATGATCCAGTTGTATTCCTAACTAAACAGTTTTCTAAACTTTTGAAACAGGTGTCAAAAGGTTCAGGCAACAAGAATATGCAAAAGGGAGCGTCATCATCTAAAACAAGTTCAAAATCAGGATCATCAACCTACAAGCCTTCAGGTTCACGTCCAGGACAGTCCAAAGAGAAGCCAAACAGTAAAGGGATCAGATGCTATGAATGTGAGGGCTTCGGACATGTTCAAGCAGAGTGTCCCACCTACCTTCGACGCAAGAAGTCCATGTCAGCTGTTACTTGGAGTGAAGATGACTCAGACAGTGAAACAGGAGGATCTGATCCAGACGAAATTTCTGGTAATTTCGTTGCTTTTACTGCACATACGACTACTGGACCGTGTCACGAAGATGTTGCTGACTCGGAGGGAGGCGAGTATAATTCTGCAGAAGATTTAGAGTCAAGTGAATCATCTTTTGAAATTGAGTTTAATAAATTGTATCCCAAGTGGGCAGCACTAAGGAAAGAAAATCGTAGATTAACTAGTGAAATAGGGATTGTAACAACTGCAAAGAAAGTGTATCAAACTCAAGTAGCTGATAGGGATCTGCTTCTAAAAGAGGCATTGGCCCGAGAAGAAAAACTGAGACAAGAGGTACAGACTCTGAAGCAGGAGCTGAACACCTACAAACGCCAAATCCAAATGATGGATACCACGTCTACACTTGACGAGATCCTTGAGTCTGGAAGAAAGACTTCTACAAAGTCTGGTCTAGGCTTCACAGGAAACAGTTCAAAGGACAAAACAGTGTTTGTCAAAGCGTCAGGCCCTGGTCAAGGAGATATTCCAGAATCTAGCACAGCGACACGTCAAGTTGGTACAGTAAGATTACCTAAGCCATATTATAAATCCTATAACCCGGTGTGTCATTATTGCAGGATACGGGGTCATACCAGGCCTGAATGCTACTACTTCTACAAGGATCAAAGAATCGAGAAGTTCAAACACAAGAACATCCAACCCTTTATAAGACAAATCTGGGTTAAAAAGACAGATTATATCTCATTCGTCTCTTTTCACTCTAAAAGTACAGGTCGAGAAGAAAAATGGTACTTTGATAGCGGGTGTTCACGGCACATGACAGGAAATGCTAAATTTCTGAGTAACGTAAACACAAGCAAAGGTGAAGTTACCTTTGGTGACGGTATAAAAGGACAAGTCACTGGCATAGGCACGCTAAACGTAGTTGGTCTGCCAAAACTAGAGAAAGTTCTACTAGTCAAAGGGCTTCATGCAAATCTTATAAGTATAAGTCAACTATGTGACCAGAACTGGAACGTGAGCTTCACAAAAAATAACTGCAGCGTCCTAGACAAAACAAACCAATGTGTTATGGAAGGTACAAGGTCAACTGATAATTGCTATATTCTCACTAACAATGTTTTGTGTTGCAGGATCAATGTAGATGAAACTGAGCTTTGGCACCAGAAGCTAGGACATCTAAGTTACAGACTTCTTGACAAACTTGTGAAGATTGAAGGTGTTCGTGGATTACCCAAACTAAAAGTCAAACCAACCATATGTGGTGCATGTCAAGCTGGAAAGCAAACCAAGTCCTCTCATCCAGCTCAGCACACAATAAACACAAGTCACTGCCTGGAGCTGATTCACATGGATCTCATTGGTCCGACTCAAACAGAAAGTGTTGGAGGTAAGAAATACATACTAGTTTGCGTAGATGATTATTCTCGTTTTTCTTGGGTTACCTTTCTCAGGGACAAGTCTGAGACCCTTGAAGCCTTCAAAACTCTGGCGTTAAAACTCCAAAAAGAAAGAAATGAACCCATCATTCGAATCCGAAGTGATCACGGACGAGAATTCGACAACAATCTGTTCGATACCTTCTGCAACCAAACAGGAATCACACATGAATACTCAGCACCGAAAACACCTCAACAAAACGGAGTTGTTGAACGGAAGAACCGCACAATTCAAGAAATGGGACGAGTTCTGCTCAATGTCAAAGGACTACCTCAGAAATTTTGGGCAGAAGCTGTGAACACTGCATGCCACATCATCAATCGGGTCTATCTACGCCCAGGCATGAATCAGACTCCGTATACATTATGGAAAGGTAAGAAACCAAACATTAAATATTTTCATGTTTTCGGATCACGCTGTTTTATTTTGAAGGATCGAAACCCTGTCGCAAAGTTTGAAACAAAAAGCGATGAAGGCATCTTCCTCGGCTATTCAACGAACAGCAGGGCATATCGTGTATACAACAAAGTTACTAAAACCATCATGGAGTCCACAAATGTTGTAATCGATGATCAACCGAGTGATATTATCACAATGTCTCAGCCTGGACCAGTGACAGAACCTGACAAAAGTTGTCCAGAACCTAATCCAGAATCGTCTGTGCCATCTCCCACGTCAACTCAACCTGAGCAAGAAACTGAGTCTGAGTCTGAATCTGACACTGATCATGATAACATTGATATCCCTACTCGCATCCAGAAAGCTCATCCAATACAAAACGTAATTGGAGATCCTAGTTCCGGCGTAAAGACCAGAGGTAAATCGAAACGTGATTACCTTCAATTAGCGGGATATTCTTGTTATATTTCGCAGATCGAACCGAAGAATGTCAAAGAAGCTCTAACAGACGAACACTGGATCAAGGCTATGCAAGAAGAACTGGGGCAGTTCGAACGAAATAAGGTATGGTCTCTAATTCCTAAACCTGACAATGTTAATGTTGTAGGTACCAAATGGATCTTTCGCAACAAAACCGATGCAGCTGGCAACATAGCTAGAAATAAAGCGCGACTTGTGGCCCAAGGCTACTCCCAAATCGAAGGAATCGACTACGACGAAACATTTGCCCCTGTTGCACGGCTAGAGTCAATACGACTCCTTCTATCGATTGCATGTGCCTTAAAATTCAAGTTGTTTCAGATGGACGTTAAAACAGCCTTCTTAAACGGCTATCTCTCGGAAGATATATACGTTGCTCAGCCTAAAGGGTTTGAAGATCCACATCATCCAGATTATGTCTACAAATTACAAAAAGCTCTCTATGGCTTAAAACAGGCCCCAAGAGCCTGGTATGAGAGACTCACTCAATACCTACTTCAGAACAGCTACAAAAGAGGAGGATCAGACAAAACATTATTTATAAAACGATCAGGTAAACACATAACAATTGCTCAAGTGTATGTAGATGATATCGTTTTTGGATCCACACAACCAGGAGAGACAGATCAGCTAGTCAAGGTAATGCAACAGGAGTTTGAAATGAGCATGATAGGCGAACTCACCTATTTTCTTGGATTACAAGTAAGTCAAACTAAAGAAGGGATTTTTATTTCACAAGAAAAATACGCGAAAAATCTTCTATCAAAATTTGGGCTTGAATCTGCAAAAGATGCTCGTACGCCTATCTCCACGACTACTAAATTATTCAAAGATGAAAAAGGAACGTCTGTAGACTCTACTATGTACAGGAGTATGATAGGCAGTCTATTATACTTAACCGCCAGTCGTCCTGATATTATGGTAAGTGTTGGTATGTGTGCACGCTATCAAGCCGATCCGAAAGAGTCACACCTAAAGGCGGTAAAACGTATTATAAAATACGTTAAAGGTACGATAAATTATGGTATTTGGTACTCGAACGATACTAATCTGAATCTTGCAGGATACAGTGATGCTGACTGGGCAGGAAATGCTGACGACAGAAAAAGTACATCAGGCGGATGTTTCTTTATAGGAAAAAATTTAGTCGCCTGGCTAAGTAAAAAGCAGAACTCGATTTCACTCAGCACAGCTGAAGCTGAGTATATAGCGGCGGGTAGTTGTTGTACACAATTACTCTGGATGCGCCAGATGTTAACTGACTATGGTATAGAACAACAAAGTATGACATTGTTCTGTGACAACACCAGCGCAATCAACATCTCAAAAAATCCAGTTCAGCACTCTAGGACGAAACACATAGATATCCGACACCACTTTATTCGTGAGCTAGTCGAAGAGAAAGAAATTATCTTGGAATATACTTCAACAGATAAAAATCTTGCTGATCTATTCACCAAACCGTTAGACAAATCGAGATTTGAACTGCTCAGAGCTGCCCTTGGTGTTTGCAATCCTACAGCTTAATTATCAACAAAGGTACAACAAATAATCTTTAATTAATTTTTAACGTAGTTGTTGTTTTTTTATGTTTGCAGGAAAATTCTAAAACTTTCCAACTTAATTTTAATTTTTCTCGCCCATATACCTATTTTTTCCTTAATTCGGCTCGGCTACCTTATTTATCTATATATTAATCCACCATTACATAATATGTATTGAAATATTAATTTCAAACAACTTCCACCACTATCTCCTAATATGACTCTACTTCTTCCCCTACAAACTAGTCACATCACTCATCCCATCCATCACAACTTTTGAGAAGCTCATTAATTAAAAAGCCTTATTGTCTTTCTTGCACTTACACGCCAAACCCACATCATTCATCTTCATCCTTACCACTCTCAAACATTGAACCTTCAACAATGGAAGACGACAATCCCTTCGCCATTTTCACAACCAAATCCGAAAGATTGGAACTTTTTCGACACATCATCAACGCTGAATCTCCGCTTACATCTGATGATACGGATCGAGTTCTCGCAACGATCAAGCAACATGCAGGACTTCTTGAAGGACTCTCGGACAGGGAAGTCAAACAGATCCAAGCTCTGGCTAGATTCATATCTGTGGAGCCGTGGACTTTTCCGGCCGAATCAACCCAACCGCCTCCGCCACAATCTGAGTTGAAGCTCTCATCCCCGGAACCCATGGTAGTCTCTTTACCCTTAGATGAATCAGTTTCCGCTTCTAGAAAGCTAGATTTCAACATCTCTTTGCCAAATCAGTTTGTGTCCACCTCAAGTGAATTGTGTGCCCCTTCCATTCCTTTACAAGGTGATCCGTATGAGTCTTCTACACATAACTTACCTGAAAATCTTGTGCCTTTATCTGATTTAATGCATGCTGTGTCATCTCCCTTCACCATTCAAAATATTAATCAATATGTGTCTCCCATGGCGTGTGCTGCATTCTCTATTCCCATTACCATTCCAGTTTCGAAATCAGCAGAGGTCCCCATCCCTGTGGCCACCTCACATGATTCTGTTCCCATTATCTCTGTGCCCGTGGGCAAATCTTCCCGAAAAGGGAAAGAAAAAATTACTGTTTCAGGTACAACCGAGAAAAGAAAAATAGAAGCATTGGAGGATGTTGTCTACCTGTCTGATTCCAAGCAATCAAAAAGAGGGCCCACATTGCCACCCAGAATGACAAGATCTAGATCAGTTTCAGTCCCAGTACCAAGTCCTGCTCCAGCACCAGCTACTGCTGCTGTTCTTTCTGGCTCAAAGAAGAAACAACCCAAGAAGACATATCATCCTATTTTACTGTCTCAAGATTTGATGACCGACTGGAGGGTTCATGCTACACGGGAGTTTATTCTGGAAAAATCCATCAATGTGGAGGAGTTGACTGAAAAATGCAACATTGTACCTATTTTACGTGATCAGTTTCTGCTTGCCTCACTTGTACATGTTGGCCCGTATTCCAGATGGCTCACTGCCGAGTTCTACACAAATTTAACATTGGATACTTTCTCGGAGGGGTCTCCACGATTTCAACAAGTCTTTATTCGGGATAAATGGTATCCCCTGAGTCCGGCTGTGATTAATTCCTATTTGGGTACTCCGAATCATCAAGCTGCTCCTGACCCGAGTCCTAATCTGCTAGCCGCTGCATTAACTCACAACAAGATTGTTACTTGGCCTAACACCGGACTTGAAAGCCTAAAGCTCACCACAGTCTACTCTGTTCTTCTCCGGATTGCTTCATGTAATTGGATGCCGGCTGTTCGTCATCATCTTGTGTCTGACCAGCTTGCTACCCTTCTCTACAAGATTAGGAACCGCCTCCCTATCAATCTTGGAGAAACCATCTTTGGCCATCTTGCGCATTTTGTACGTCATAGGGAACCTAAGGTACATCTACCATTTCCAAGTCTCATTTTTGGACTTCTACAGGAACACGGGTTCAAGCCCTACACAGATGAGGTGGTGATTGCTAATGACTCAATCTACAAGTATGATGATCGTTTGACAAATAAGGATCACTATGATGATAGAGCTACACTCATGATCACTCCCAATGCACCATCTGCCACACCTCCGGTGTCTGCCCCTGCCTCGTCTGCTGACACTGGTTCTGCGCCTATTCCTCGTCCAGCTGCAGTGATCAAGGAACCACAGACGCTCATGGATCGCCGTCAAATTGTCCCCACTCTTCAAGCATCAATTGCTCAGATTCACACATCGGTTGCATCTCAACAAATTACCATTGATGGCTTACAAAAATTGTTGGGTGCTCAGTTGGAAGAAATTGCCCGAATGGAGGCCATATATGCTCGTATTCGATCTACTACATCCACTGCTGGCGCTGACACTGGGTCTTTTTCTGAGAGTGATGAATCTGAGTCAGGTACCCCGTCTGCAAGTTAATCCAATCCACTAGTATGATGTTCACCAGGTTGTTTGTCATTTATTTGGCATAAACAAAGGGGGAGTATTGGAGAAAGGGGGAGTATGAATGTTTGGGAATGTCTGGTAAGTTTTTGGTTGGTTTTTGGTATGGATGTTAATAATCTTGGTATGCAATGCTTAAGTATGAATATCTTGGTGTTTTTAGTATGTTTTTGGTATGAATTGCTATGAATGACTCTTGAGAAATTTTGGTATGTTGACTTCATGGTATGAATTGGTTTTAATTGGAATGATTATGAAGAAAGGAAAGCTTCAAGTTAGGGGGAGTAATTCAAATTACAGTATGGAAAGCGTGACATATATGGTATGTTTGATACAACACTAATTCGTGCATGATTTACTATTTATTAATTGGATGAAGCATATGAGTCAACATCAACCAAGGTCCAAAATAAAATTCCACACACATATAAGCCTTGGTTAGGTCCTAGAAGTTTTAAAATTGCATATTTGATTTTATTTATATGTTCAGTACGTATACTACGGGATGTTAATAAAAATTATTCGTTTCTTTTTTCCAAAGTATAATGATACTATTGTTTTACCAAATAAATTGCCAAAGGGGGAGATTGTAAGTGTACAAATAAGTACACATTAGATTGGCTAATTTATTAATTTATTTTATTAATATGTAATGTTAATTAGCATGAATTGTAATTAGTATTTTGGACCAAGCTAAAATGTGTGGTGGAGATTTATTCTTAATATATTGGACAAAGAGCAAGTCTGAAGATCTCAAGTTAAAAGAAGATGTGGTTGAGAAGATTTCAAGCCACATATGAAAACTACAATCAAGGCTTGGTGGAATGGGAATTTCGTACACTATAAAAGGAAGGGAAATCAAAAGAGGAAGTTGCCAATTCTGAATTTCTACATCTATACGCAAGCTTCCTACAATACTGCTTTAATATTGATTATATTATTTGTGATTTAAATCTGTACTACAAATCAGTACCTGTGACAGCTGAAGTGCTACACCAAAGGTGGTTATGGCATGCACGGTTCAGTCCTAAGTAGGTGTTTTAGAAGAGTTGTAGTGGTAAAGGCTGTGAGCCGTTTGTAGTTACCTCTTGTAATACTCTGTGGTGAACATCTAGTGGATTGGGCAGACGTGGGTTGCCCCGCAGACGTAGGAGAAGGAGCTCCGAACTGCGTAACAATTCTACTGTGTCTTTACTTTATTTATGCTTTCAATTTCGTTATTTATATGTTGATTAAATTGATTTAATTAAACAGCGAAATTGTCTCGTAATATAAAATCAAGTAGAATCCTTAGTGATAAATTGATTTCAAGATACACGGGCTTTTTCAAAACTCTTAGTGGCGGTAACGAGGTGGCTGGTTCTTCTCGGCGATAGTGGCAACGACTGGTGGTGTCTGTGTTCTCTATTAGAAACCGCACTGCGAGATCTATTCCTCAAGATCCCGGAGTGCTGATCTGAGGAAGATCCAACGAAAGAGAAATCAGATCAGAAGATCCGCATCTTCCCATCGTTGACTCGCCGATCGGATTGCGAGAAGTCTCCATTGCGGCAGGCCTCAAGATTTACGATCGGTGATGACCGCGAAGTTTGATTGGCGCGACGGATGAGGCGGGAGGTTACGGGATCCAAAACGGCATAAGTACCAATACCAATTAATACAGAACATGGCATAAGTTAGAGGTTAAAATGACAAATACATATTTCTCTCCAAATGAATACTGAAATCAAATTATAACTAAACACAAATCAACAATGTTTACGAATGAGGGTAAATGTGTAAGCACAAACAATAATTTAAGAAATGAATTGCTTCCTATCAGAATAAAATAGACCACATTATATAACCCGATGTAGTAGTAGAAACTTAGTGACTAGTAACGGGAGAACATGTCAAGAGTCCGGGGATCAAATACCAAATACAATCTAATCAAACACCACGAACAGACTAAAAGAAATCAGACCTTCGGAGAAATAAAATATACAGACATGTTTACGAGGTCGAAATTAGATAGCAACCACCTCGCCATTCGCTTAGGAATGTTAGGGGTCCGTAAATTCAAGAGTTCCCCTAACCCCAGCTCAACGACAGCGCTCTTTTGCCGAGCACTAAATCGCATAATGGGATTCACCAGGTGTTTCGGAGCCGCCCGGATCTTAAGGGGGGGGGGGGGGGATATTGAATCGTCGACTGCGTCAACACCATCATTCGAGTCCTCGAAATTCGACACCTGTTGGTCGGGGCGAGCGGGTAATTTCACATCAACGGGGGGTGGTGGCAAGGGTGGTACAACAGCTTCAACAACCGCTGACTCAACAGCAATGTCACCTGGTACCAAAAAATCATTAACACAAATACCAAAATAAGAACACAACACACCGTATGCACAAAGTATACAACCACGCCACACACTCCTAACTATAGACAATATAGCAACCATGAAGATGTTAATCATAATTCCAACGCACATACTGTAAACCGATGACGCACACACATAAACTTTAAGCATCACATCAATCCAGCTAACAAATCCAATCACAATAACATTACGACCCCATCCCCGACACAAAAAAAAAGAAGATGGAAACAAACACCCACATACGCTATCCGGCCTAAAATAATATAACGAATAAGAATCGCACCGTAACACATCGAACTCAATTTTAAGACACCATGAATCAAATAGAAAAATCCTACGCACAGACTATAAACCCATTACGCCCACACCTAAACCTATCCAACAACCTGCCCCCGATGCACGAGCCAAATTTAATGCAAACGCACAGACTATATACCATGATGCACTGACCTAAGTATAGACAAATAACATACCAGATTGAGAAAACAACGCCAAAAAATGAATAAAACATAACGAACATAAAAAAAAAAAAAGAAAAAAAAAAACAGCCCACAAAAAAACATAACAACACTCTACCAATAAGTATAACCAATTATTAGAACTTCCACAAAATTTAACACAACAAACAGAATATGCAAGAAGAAAACAAGTTCCAAATGCATAGGCTTTACAACAAAAACGCACAAAACTTCTCGCCCCGTGACAGACCACAAACCTTAAGCATCAAATTAATAAACGTAGAGCAGTGTGTATCTACCAAAACCATTAAACAAAAACCACAGACAATAATAATAATAATAATAATAATAATAATAATAATAATAATAATAATAATAATAATAATAATAATAATAATAAAACACCTACACATTGCAAACTATATACCAACAAAAATATGAAACTTAATACAGAAATATCTAACCCCACCAGCGTGCAAACAAGGACCCCCCTCCCCCCGTCAACCACCTCTAAGCTCACGACCCCCCTCCCACCACCCCCCCCCCCCACTGAGACGTATAACAAAACTTTAAAAACGAAAAAAAAAAAAAAACTAAAACAGCTAACAAATAGCCCATCACGACAACCCTACAACCACCCCCAGCCGAACTCACCAACGAACCCCCCCCCCCCCCCCCCCCCCAACAAAAACCCAACCCCGCTGAAGACAACACAACCCAAAAACACACATGCAATATCCGCAAGAAACACAATTTGAAACCGAGAACATCTCAATCATAAAGAAATCACCAAACCGGGACCCTAACATCCCTCACAAACATTGAAAAAGAAAACGAAAATTAAAAAAAAAAAACTGCAAAAGCCACAAACCGCCGATAATCCCAACCCTACCGCCTCCCCACCGCCGAACACACCATCCACATACCCACTCCCCCGAAAACACACCCACCGGCAGAGAAAACATACCACAACCACACATGCAGATACAGAAACCTACAATTCTTAAAACAAAGAAAACAAAAAAACAAAGAACAACAATAAGACAAGGGGATACCTGGTGTAGAACTGGAAGAGCTCCCTCTCAGTCGTTTAGACGCCCTAGAGCTCGAAGCTCTCTCTTGGCGAACGAAACGGCAAAGTGGAAAAGAAACGACGTGAACGGTAAAATGGCGGAAGATTCCTAATAACACTAAACATATACCAAAAAATCCGCAATTTAATATAATTAACCAAAATAAAACGACGCAAAAAAGTCAATAAAGCCCCTTCCCCTTTCAAATGCACGTGGATTTTAAATACAATAGGCCAATCTGAAACGTTAATAAAATCTAAATAAACGGTAGAAATTAATGCTCACGAGCACACCTACTTGGGGGTTGCACTGGATTCAATATATTAATTAAGAGATCAATATTCTAATTCGAAATTAGGAATCTATTAAGATTTGTATTCTAATTCGCTAAATTTCTTTTGACAGAATTGTTAAGTTTAACAGTGAAAGTTTGGTATAATTTAGAAGAATGAGGTTATATTAGGAATTTAAGTTGGCATTGTACAATTAGAAAAGCGCAAAGTACAATTTTGTTAAGCATGTGGCGTACCGACATTTTTTTTGTTTCGGTTAAGGGTCTAACAATATTCACTTTTATTAAAGTTGTATGTATAGATATAGATGTAGATTTATTATTTATAACAGAAGTAGATATTGATGAAATTACTTGTGCAGACCAAGCGCAGATAGGACAGTTTGTGCAATAGCGAGCGAAAGAAGCAGTATAGCTGCAAAGGTAGAAATCCCTGCCCATGGACTGTGAAAATAATTGCGTCTTAGTTTTGCCATCGCCGCATTCCAGGGTTTTTTGCAATGTCGATTCAATTCTGTGCACACATTTTTGTAATAGAAGCCATTAATGTCATGCGTAACCTCTTTGGTAAGGTTGTTAAAAAGAAGGGTCACTTCTTTGTCATCTCCCAATCCATTTATAAAAACATCTTTAAGACGAAGTAAGTTGACATCCTTCTCCGTATTAATAAGATCATCCATGAACATGGCATAATCTGTGAAATACTTGGGATGCACATACGGCGAATGTTGCTCGTAGGCTATGAGATTTCTGAAGAATGTTTCTGTTGAATCATAGAGAGCGAAAGAGGGGATCTCTAATACGCCTCCTTCAAACTTTATATCAAATAGGCTTATGGTTTTATTAGAGTTGTCTGAAATCTTGCCAAGCTTTTTGAAGTGAACTCCAGCTTCTTGAAGCTCACTTGCAGTACGTATACTGCATAATTCAACCTCAAGATCGTCTCTACTTTGTTGTGGTTGTTCCCAAAACTTGCAAACAAAACATGGCCAATTCCTATGCTTATGCTGTCCGTTACTAAGACTTTGGGATTCAATATCAGAGCTCCTGCCGCCTTGTGGTTGTTTTCCAAGAGCAGCAAGAAGAACATGCCTTCTGCTGCTGATGAATCTGCCCTGCATTATTTTGAGGTTGGGGTTGGCAGAGAATGTGCACTAACTGAAGTAAATGCTTTATCTCTTGGCCAGGGTACACCGGTAGGGAGATAATAGTTTTCTTTGGTAGGCAAGGCTCAAATGCAAATTTCACCATCTTCCAGAATTCTGGTTTGACAGGCAAATTACAAATCATGTCATAGAGTGCTTGTAGAACAAAGAAGGGGAGTTGGTTTTCCAAGAGCAACATGTCACGAGCAATATTAGTATCCATCCCCTGAATCATGAAAATGGGATCAACAATGCATTTTTGCAGCATGCCTACACCTGATTGTATAATAACATATTCCACTATAAAGCAACCATCAAGCAATAACATCTTTACGAATTCATCATCATCGTCAACAAATTTTATGTCATCAAGATCACCATAATACCTCTCTGCTCTGCCTTGCAAATCCTTTAATTTCCTCCAACACTCCTCCACACCCACTCCTCCTTGTGTTCTGTTTAAAAAGGACTGTGTATACAATTCTTTCCACCTCTCCATCTTCCTCAATTCTGCCTTCCCATGATGGTAAGGCCCGATGGAAATTGTCGAAGGTGTATAAGCCTCTGGCTTTGTTTTTCGCAGCTGCTCCTGCACTTTGAATATACATGCTTCTGAAGAAAATTGTTTTACATTTTTAATCTTTTCTGAAAGGATTCTTAATGCTTTGCAGTTTGCTAAATCTTGTAGATGTCCTGCTCCCTCCATATCTTTTCCCTGTTGATGAATTGTAGTCAGTATTAGAGTTCAAACTTTTTTTTTTTTTGGTGTGTGTAGATGAACAAAAATGGTTGACATAGCGGTCATGGAGATTTTTAAAATTAGAATGCATTCAAAATGTCTATTTATTTATTTTGACTCCAATTTCGATTATTATTTACTATCAAACAAAGAGATAACATATTCTAATTATTAAGTATTTGGTTCTAATTCCAACTTCAATACTAATATTCGAATCAAACACCCTCTAGTTTTTCTAATCTTATGAATCATATTCTCAAGTGATCTAAATTAAACTTTCTCGACCAGTAATAAGTTTTCCACATCTTAAGTTCGCTGTCAAGAAAGTATGGACTTTCCTAATTAATGACCTCTAAATGTTAATTAACATAGAATTAACATAGAATCACAGTTGTGATTACTTTAACAATTTGAAATACACATTAACTCACTCGATCAAGACATGCCACAATAATTAGGGGGAAGGGGGAGGAGGGATTGAACTTCACAAATAATGAAATAAGAAATTATATATGTGTTAATTTGAAACTTTGAAAGCATGAATGAAACTGAAAGAGCAACGAAGCATACAGACCTCACTGCAGCCTTTGACACAGTGGAGTATTTTTCGCCAATGTTTATTTGGTATTTGGTTGCTTTTCATAAATACGGAGTAAGAAATAGTAATGCTCTTTTATAGATAAGAAATGGTTGGATTTCAAGGTGTTGAATAGCACTGATTTGCCAGGCTAGCTTTAGTTAATTGCGTCACCAGTATGACCTCATCCATGGCGTAGGCACTAAGTACACCGATGACTTTTAACATCGGTTATTTAGAACCTTTAAGGTCGGCTAAAAAGTGTGATGTAGGCGAAATTGTATAGTAAACAAATGACGTTGGTTATTTAGTAAAAACTGACGTTGTACGGTAAATTTTTTTTTTTTAAATATACATACGTCGGTTATAGCATATAACCGACGTTGTATGTATTTGTTTGTTTTTTTTTTAATATTACATTTATTTATCAATTTAGATCCAAATTACATATATCGTAACCACATCCAAAACCTGCTCAAATATCTCATTACAACAATATTTAAAACCTGTATAATCTAAATTTGAAAAGCTAGGAGCTCAAAACTAAAGTCCTTTAGTTGTCTAAGGTAGCGTTTCAAAATAAGCTCTTATTTTAAGCTAAGAGCTTATTTTGAAAACATTACCAAACAAAACTTATAGCTTATTAGTAGCTTAAAATAAACTATATAAGTTCCTAAATAAGCTTTGCCAAGAGCCATTATATATGTACTATTTTAAAATTTTAGGGGCAACATTTAAACTACTAGTAGAGTAGTAGCTCAAATAATTTATTTTTAAGTTATACAAATTGCTCAGTTTTTTTATCAGGTCATTTTTAACTAACGTTCTCCTATATCATCACTACCTTGGCATGCAGGTACTATACTTTATGGTGTATGTACTTTGTTGCTTAATTTCTACAATAATGGTTTGGTTGTTACGTTGGAGACATGCATGGAGCCTACCTTTCATGAGTCTTCAATTCCTTCACAGCTCTTTTTTCTGCAACTGCAATAATGTTTTATGACAACTAAGGTAAACTTTCAAATTGCCACAGGCAACGTAACCCAGGCGGGGTAAAAAAAAAATTAAAAAAAAAAAAACAAACTTATTGCGGTTTTTTTTTTTTTTTTTTAAGTAGAAGGGTAAACAAAAAAAAATAAAATAAAAATAGAGACCCAGACATCTAGCGCATGTACTACATGCGCCAGCTAAGCAGTGCTGGTATGCACAACGCACTTTTTTTTTTTTTTTTTTGAAGCCAAACGAAAACGATTTCATTAAAAACTCAACAAAGAAGCAATACACGGGGGTGGGCGATTAAACCACGACTCCAGGACACTTTTTTTTTTATTTTTTTTTTATTTAAAAGAACTCGAAAATGTATGAAAAAAGTTGAATTTTCATGAGTTCATTAACGCTCCCCACCTACACTCTCTCTTCCATATCACCAAAATTCTAACAAAAATAAAGAAAAAACCCATGATAATCAAAATCATAGTTAGCTAGTGTTTGGTTGATAACTTTTTAAAACACAACTATGAATTTGATTACCCCTTCAATTTAAAACCTCATTTCTTAATTTAAAAAAAAAATATCATTCCATCTCATTGGTAATATGATATTTAAGTTTGGATTAGTGCTTTTAAATTTTTGTTTTGATTTTTTTTGTTCATATTGTGAGTAATATTAGTATTATTATTATGTTTATGTTTATAGTCTATAGTTATTTATATGTGGTTAGAATAAGTTTTCTGTTTATAACCTGTTAGATAGGAACAGTTAGAGATAGATTCAGATATACTCTCCTGTAATCCTATCTTTCCTGATTGAATTGAATTTTGAATTCTCATCTGGTATTAGCCTAAACACGATCCTCCACCGCAAAACACCCAACCCCCTCCTTACCCCACCATTTCGTCGCACTCCTCCGAGAGGACCCCGTCCGCCGCTGCAGGTGGCTCATCTCCGGTGACCGGAAATCCGTTGTCCGGAACCCACCATTTTATCTCAATGAAATTGACCTCAAGAAATTTTCTATTTTGGAGAACTCAGCTTCTCCCGTTTCTTAGAGGTCAGGATCTCATCGGTTATGTGGACGACACCACACCATGCCCGCCGGCGTTTCTGTCTGCAACCGCTTCCGGCGAGTCGGGATCCGGCGAGACCACTGCTCCCGTCAACCCCCAACCCGGCGCACAAGGCCTGGGTTCTCCAGGACCAGTCTATTTTGAGTCTTCTCATATCCTCGATGTCAGATGAAGTTCTGCATCTTGCGGTTGGCCGGAATACCGCCGCCGACGTATGGAGATCCATTTGCACCGCACTCGGTTCCAACACGCAGGCATGACGTTTAAGCTTGCTTGGTCAGTTCCAGGCGCTCCGGCAAGGGGCGTCTACGCCCGGTGACTACCTCGGAAAAGCGGAGCTGTTGGTGGAAGCGCTTGCACATGCAGGCCGGTCAGCCGCTTTCCATGGCCGAGCAAAATTTGTACGTGATACGGGGCTTGCGTCCGGAGTACAGGGCATATGCGGCTTCGCTGACGGCACATGCTCCGGTGTCTCTTCTACACCTCGCGGATCATCTGCAAGCATCATATTTTATTCTTGCTGATGATTTTGCAGATGGCGGCCGAGTCAGTGGGAGCGGAGGACGCCACACCGGTGGTCACGGCAACGTCGATGGAGGCCGGCAGAACAACTGGCGAGGTGGCCGTGGTGGCCGGAATCAGCGGGGTGGCGGCCGTAATCAACGTGGTGGTGGTCCCCGTTGCCAAATTTGTAGAGCGCAGGGGCACACCGTGGTTTACTGCTACAAACGGTATACAACACAACCACCCGCGCAGGCACATGTCGCCGTTTCGGGAGAGACTCCGGTCACTACCGTACCATCGGCCGAGGCGTGGTACCCTGATACTGGGGCCACGGCTCACGTGACTCCGGAAGCTGGAATATTAACGTCATCGGAGGAATATACCGATCCGGACACGTTGAGAGTGGGAAATGGTACAGGCTTAGTAATTTCGCGGGTCGGCCATGCATCGATCCCCTCTGTGTCAAAACACCTGTTTCTATCTAATGTGTTACATGTCCCAAAATTAACTGTTCCCCTTTTATCTGTACAAAAATTTGCTAAAGAAAATTCTGTGTTTTTTTAATTTCATGACAGTTGTTTCGTTGTGAAGGATTCCAAAACCAAGGCGGTGCTTCTTAAAGGCCCGACTACTGGAGGTCTTTACAAGTTGCCAATTTCCCGAAGTCATTTCGCGTTCGTCAGTTCCCGGGTAACACCCACGATTTGGCATCGCAGGCTTGGTCACCCTCACAAATTGGTCCAGAATAAAATTCGGCAACATTGTTCAGTTACACAAAATAGTGTTAGTTTCGGGTCATGTACGACTTTCCATCTCGGCAAGTCTTGTCGTTTTCCATTAGATAGACTCAATACTTCTAGCAATAATGTACTTGATTTATTGTACACGGATATCTGGGAGCCTGCACCAGTTATCTCTTCTAGTGGCTTCCGCTATTTCCTTCTCTTTGTAGATGACTTTTCACGTTATTGCTGGTTTTATCCGTTAAGGGTAAAATCAGACATCTATAAAACTTTTGATGTTTTTCGTGTTCTGGTAGAGCGACAATTCTCGCGCTCTATCAAGTCCATACAATCGGATTTAGGAGGTGAATACCGCAAACTACACACCACGTTTCAAACCCTTGGAATTAATCACCGTCAGTCGTGTGCATACACACATGAGCAAAACGGGAGAGTTGAGCACCGCAACAGACATATTGTCGAAATGGGCTTAGCTCTTCTAGCTCAAGGGTCAGTCCCACAACAATACTAGGATTATGCTTTCGAGACAGCAACATGTCTCATCAATTATCTTCCCACCGCTGTCCTAAAATTTGAAAGTCCTTATTTCCGTCTACATCAGAAAATACCACCCTATCAGTTTCTACGTGTCTTCGGGTGTTTGTGTTTCCCCTATCTTAGGCCTTATAATCGGCATAAGATAGAGTTTCGGTCCACTCCTTGTGTCTTCCTGGGGTACCCTCTATCTTTTCGAGGTTACAGATGCATGGATCTAACCAGTGGAAAAACTTATGTCTGCCGCCATGTGCGGTTTGATGAAACCATTTTCCCTTTTGTTACAGGTATAGCTCCAAGTGTTGCTGAGGTCCACCCTGTACCGTGGGCATCTGGACCCATTGTGCCCGCTCATGTTCAGTCTATGGTGCAACCCAACGTCCCAGTACCACAAGACTCTGACCCCCGTCCTATAGCTCAAGAAGAGTCACCTTTAGCAATTGAGCCCGCTGTCCCGACTACTCGGGGGCGGGGGCGGGCTCAACCGCAGGAACGAGCTCATGTCATGCGTCTCCGCGGTCAGACTCGGGGTACTGATGAATAATTTCAGGCCCTCACAGCCATTTCAGCTGATCCGACTTGCTATTCCCAAGCTGTTGGCCATCCATAGTGGCGGGATGCTATGGATCAAGAATTTAATGCCCTTTTGCATAACAATACCTGGAGTCTAGTCCCACCTAGTCCCACGATGAATATTATTGGGTGCAAATGGGTATTCCGCACCAAACGGACTGCTGATGGGTCGGTCGAACGGTATAAAGCACGGCTTATGGCTAAGGGCTACAATCAGGTAGCCGGAGAAGATTTTTTCGACACGTTCAACCCAGTTGTTAAGCTGACAACTGTTCGTCTTCTTCTTTCTTTGGCTATAACCAACAAGTGGACGCTACGACAGTTAGATGTGCATAATGCCTTTTTGAATGGGCATCTAGCTGAGACTGTATATATGAAACAGCCTCCAGGATATGAAGACCCGGCCCATCCGGATCATGTCTGCCACCTACAGAGGTCTCTCTATGGGCTTAAGCAAGCACCGCGAGCGTGGTTTAAGCCCCTTCATGACTTTCTCCTTACTACTGGCTTTAGCGCCTCGAAGACGGATGTATCCCTTTTCTACTACAGTTTGGATGGGTGTCAGGTGTTTCTACTAGTATACGTGGATGATATTATTATGCTAGGGAGCAGTGCTACACTTATTAACACCCTGTTGTGCTACCTTGCGACTGCTTTTAAAATCCGGGATCTCGGGAAGCCGAGTTTCTTCTTGGGGATTGAAATGGTTGACACTTCAGCGGGCGTTATTTTGTCACAGCGACGTTACATGAATGATATTCTGAATAGGGCTGGTATGGTAGACTGCAAACCCTTATCCACTCCTGCCTCGACAACTCAGCCGGTTACTCCGTCAGACGAACCTTTTGATAATCCCACGCAATATCGTCGGATTGTTGGGGCCTTACAGTATCTTACGATCACTCGGCCGGATTTATCAGATGCCGTCAACCGGTTATGTCAGTTTATGCACACTCCGACTGTAAATCACTGGGGCATGGTTAAGCGTGTCTTACGGTATGTCAAAGGCACGTTAAATTATGGATTGAGACTGTCTCCCTCACCGACTACTTCTATTCACGCATATTCCGACTCCGACTGGGCCGGCTGTCCCATAGATCGGAAGAGCACCAGTGGGTATGCAGTATTTTTGGGCACAAACCTTGTGTCGTGGCTTTCACGGAAACAGTGGACAGTTGCGCGCTCCTCGACTGAAGCAGAGTATAAAGCCTTAGCTGATGTGGCAGCTGAGGTCACTTGGGTTGTTTCCCTTCTTCGAGAGTTAGGGCTTCACTTTGGGCAGTCCTCGACTTTGTGGTGTGATAATTTGGGCGCAACATATCTTTGTGCTAATCCAGTCTTTCACGCCAGGACGAAGCATGTTGAGATAGACTACCATTTTGTTCGAGACAAGGTAGCCAGTGGTGACTTTGTGGTTAATTTTGTATCGACGAAGGACCAGCTTGCAGACATTTTCACCTAGCCTCTTGCAGGGCCCAGGTTTATTACTCTTCGAAACAAGCTGAACGTTGTGTCCTTACCACCGTCCGCTTGAGGGGGTGTGTGAGTAATATTAGTATTATTATTATGTTTATGTTTATAGTCTATAGTTATTTATATGTGGTTAGAATAAGTCTTCTGTTTATAACCTGTTAGATAGGAACAGTTAGAGATAGATTCAGATATACTCTCCTGTAATCCTATCTTTCCTGATTGAATTGAATTTTGAATTCTCATCCATATTGGATTATTATTGGTGCTTTGGATATCATTATATTAGGATCAATTGACTTGATTTTTTTTTTTGTTTTTTTTTAAAACTTTTATTCGCATTATAGTGTCATACATAACCAAACATCAAACACACCGTACCCTACTACCAAACATGCAAAGTACTTTCACCAAAATTCGTACCATTACCAAGTATTTGATTCTCATTCCGATTCTAATTCTCATGTGCGAACCAAACACACTCTATGTTTTACGGCCGTCGAATAGACAAAGAATATTGTGTATAAGAGAATGTTATGTCCATTTAGTAATTATATTGAATTTTATTTTTATTTTTCTTAAAAATATAAAATATAAAATGAAAATCTGAAAGCATCTATTTTTACCATGGTACATTTACCATTTCCCTACTTAAGAAAGGATTTGAAAAACACATGCACTTTTCTGATTTTTCAAATAAAAATATACACAATTTCTATTTACTCATTTTTTTTTTCATCCCCACCATTATAATGGATAGGATATTAACCAGTTTTTGACCTTTGAAGTGCAAGTAAATGTTAAAAATGCAAGTAGCATCTTCATATCAATAGTACGAGTGAAATGTTTTTTTTGTTAGCACACTCTAACCTATCCATAGTATGTATTCAACAATTATGCTAATTCCGATCCCTAATTGGGATGAGACGTGAACTTGGGCCTTCTTTATGAAATCAAACCACAAGGTACACAGTTGTAAGTAAAATGTATTAAAAGTATAATTAACAACTTCATAGGATGCAACGATATTACGTGCACATAATATTATCATTAGTTGCACCAATATAAAAGCAACAATAATGCAAGTAAAATGTATTAAAAGTGCAAGTAACGACTTCACATAGTGCAACAATATAAAATGCACTTGAATAACAATATTAAGTGCACCTAACTATATCATTAGTTGCACCAATGTGAAAGGTAAATTACTTGCACTCTATAGTGTAAAAGGTTAGACTTTTAAGTAATTTTAGTTGAACTATTTATTTGTACACTTGCGCTTGTTACTTGTATTTTTAACACATGTTACTTGCATTTCAAAATTTGAATAATTTACAAAAATGTCACCACATTTTTGTTTATAGAAATTGCTTATAATCCATTGATCTTTCTAGATAGACGCGGCTCCGATTAATTCCTAATCTCTCATAGATAGTAGTTCTCACACACGCACGCACGCACGCACGCACGCACACACGACTTAATCTACATTCTTTTCCAAGGATACACACTCCTACAAAGTCTTTCAAAATTTCCATTTTCTAAGAATACAAATTATTTTTTTTTTAAACCAAGAATCATGGTTAAAAAATCGCTAGGCGCTTCCCGAGCGCCTAGGCGGGGGCATTAATCGGTGCCTAGGCGCTAGTATTTTTTTATTTTATATTTTATTTTTAAAAAATTTATTTAAATTTTTTTAAATTTTTAAGACTTGATAATTATAAACTATTTAATAGATTAATAGTTAATATTAAAATATTAAATATTAACCTAAAAACATATAGAGTTTGAATTTAAAGTTATTTTGCTCAAAATGATGTCGTTTTGTGTGAAATAACCGATTTAAAAAAAAGAAGGAAATAATATCTAATCAGCCGACTAGGCGACCAAGTCAGTGCCTAGGCGGCCTAATCGGTGCCTAAGAGGATTAGTCGCCACCTAGGAGACCTAGATGGTAAGCGCCTAGGCGACACTTAGGCGGCTAAGTCGGCCGCCTAGCCGACCAACCGTCTAAACCACCGATTATGGTGATACACTAGGTGGCCGACCAGCGCCTAGACGCCGACTAATCGATGCCTTGACGGGATTTTTGAAACACTACCAAGAATATAAATTTATTTTGACAGAATTCAAAATAATATTTGTAATGCCTATTCATAAGCTAATTTTTTTTCAATTCTCTAAACAGAACTAATTGATTTTTTTTTTTTTTTTTTTTTTGAGGAAACGAGAGATCATTCATTAAACGGCTTCAGCCGAAAGAACAACAGATACAAAGGAAGGGGGATAAACATTCCACTCCCTGCGACCAGCATTAGAAACGGCATCCCGAGCTAACAAGTGGGCAACCGAATTCGCGGATCGCTTAACAAACGAAAAGCTAATGTTAGAAAAAAAACTAGCTAAATCACAAATGTCATTAAGAACAAGATCAAAATAAGAGTTGCAGCCATGAGATTTAATTCCTTGAATGACCAGCTGAGCATCAGATTCAACGCAAAAAGTGTCCAAGCCTTTCTGTTTTGACCAGCTTAGCGCTTCTCTGATGGCAATAGATTCTGCAATTCTGGGTTCGAGAATTCCTGACAATGATGAGCTTGCTGCTGCCACGAACGCACCTTGCGAGTCTCTTACAACGAAACCAAAGCCAGTAGTCATAGAGTTGGAGTCCACTGCTGCGTCAGAATTTATCTTCAACCAACCATGTGCAGGCTTCTCCCATTTCTGAGTGAGATTAGATCTAGTAACAGATGGGGACGTATGGTAGACCTGCTGCCACGCCAGTAAGAAGGACCTGGCCTCTACAATAACAGTGAAATGAGAAGCTTTGAGACCATTCCAAATCCTATTATTCCGTTCAGTCCATATCTGCCACGCTACCGTCTGAATGATACTGGAAAGGCAAGGTTCAAGATTCTGCACAGTCTGTTGAAGCCAATCCCGTGGGAGAAGATTGTCCGGAAACGGAACCACTTTGAGCTCACTCCAGACTTTGAGCTCACTCCAGCAAGCTTTGGCAAAAATACAATGCATGAATAAATGAGTAGCTGTCTCGACATGGCTGGAACACAACACACACAGGGGATTAGCAGCAACTTTCTTCATGATAAGGTTATCAGCAGTGGGGAGAATATTATGACAAAGTTGCCACACAAAGGACTTGATTTTCGGTGGAATAGGCAGTCTCCAAATATCAGGCCAACTGACAGATTGTGGGTAAGGGAATTCACCACGTAATACTCTGTATGCACTCTTGACCGAATACAATCCCTTATCCTCTTGCCTCCAGATAATTCTGTCAGTGTGACACCCAATAGGAACAGGAATACTCATAATTTGGGCTCTATCAGCAGGTTCAAAGATGTCCTCAAGCAGCTCGATATCCCAGTTTCTACCGTTAGTATCTAGCAGAGACTGGACCCTTGCTTCAGCCAAGTACTCCGGCATTGGTGTTGTAATAAAAGGAGAGGAACGGTTAGGTAGCCAAGGGTCCTTCCAAACACTGATAGTTCTCCCATCCCCGACCCTCCAACTACAATTGTCCTTGATAAGAGATTGTGACTCAAAGATACTCCTCCAAACAAAGGATGGGTTACTGCCCAATTTAGCCTCCATGAATGAAGTATTTTTGAAGTACTTGGCTTTGAAAACTCTAGAAACCAAAGACTCAGGATAGTGGATGAACCTCCAAGCCTGCTTACCAAGTAAAGCAAGGTTAAAGGCCCTTAATTTTCGAAACCCCATACCTCCCACTGCCTTTGGTTTGCACAGCTCGTCCCACCTTCTCCATCTAATACCCTTTGCATTTTCAGCTTGACCAATCCACCAAAATTTATTAAGAGCCAACTCAATCTTGTGACAGATATCTTGCGGAAGTAAGAAGATGCTCATAGCATATGTCGGAATGGCTTGGAGGACATTCTTAATCATAATCTCCCTCCCTGCCCGAGAGAGAAATCTATTGTTCCAGCTCTTAATCCTACCGAGAACCTTATCTTTGATAAATCCAAGAATCTCTGTTTTCCTTCTCCCCACCAAGGAGGGAAGACCAAGATATTTCCCTTGGACACTTCCTTCAGAAATGCCCAGAATTTCAGCCACCACCTCTCTAGAAAGATTGTCAACATTTTTGCTAAAAAGAAGGGAAGAATTGCTCAAGTTAATGGACTGACCCAAGGCTATTGAGAACTCATTGAGGATATCTTTCATAGTACTTGCCTCAAGAGAATTTGCACGACAAAAAAGTAGGCAATCGTCTGCAAAAATCAAGTGTGAAATGACCGGAGCCCCTCTAGAAATAGAAATCCCATGCAAAGATCCTTGTTGGATCTCTTTGGAAATAAGTCTGCTGAGACACTCCATCATCAGGATGAACATGTAAGGGGAAAGTGGGTCCCCTTGCCTGAGACCTCTCTGGGGAATGAAAGAGCCAATCACATGACCCTCCTGCAATAAAGAGTACTGGACAGACCTAATACAAACAGATATCATTTCAACAAAATCAGCAGAGAAACCCAATTTGATTAGCACCCCTTCAACCAAGCTCCAATTGACCCTGTCATACGCCTTACTCATGTCCAATTTCAGCGCCATCATACCATAATTACCCTGCCTTTTCCTCTTCAAGTAGTGGTGAGACTCATAAGCTAGGAGTAAATTATCAGAAATTAATCTACCCGGGACAAAGGCACACTGTGCTTCCGAAATAATACCATTCAGCAGGGGTTTGATTCTATTTGCTAAAGCTTTGGATAGGATCTTGTACAGGACATTACACAAAGCTATGGGTCTTAAATCAGCCATAGATTCTGGTCTTGCAACCTTAGGAATAAGGCAGATGTGGGTGTTATTAATTCCAGGAGGGAGGGATTTAGATAATCTGAAGTTCTCACAGAAGTCAACAACATCTTTGCCTACAATATCCCAGTAGTGCTGAAAAAACCCCGGGGGGAGACCATCCGGGCCCGGAGACTTATCCGGTTTCATATCAAA